ATAATAAATAAATAAAAAAATAGAAAATAAATAGTAAAAATAAGATTCATGCACATCGCCCCACAAGAGAAAAAAAAAAAAAAAAAAACAACGCCATCACCGTCATCATAAACAACAATAAAATGGGCGTTCATCGGAAAATAATAATAATAATAATAAACAAAACTATGAGAATTTGGAAAATTTTTGTAGCAATTCGTCCCGTACCTCAGCCAACATTTTATTCGCATCCGCCAAAAGTTGTTCCTGCTCCTGCACGTATCGCTCAAGGCGGTTGCGTCTCTCAGGGTTCTCTTCCACCTTGAGACGCTCCAACGCCTCTTTGTTCGCTGACTCCACGTACCTCACAAACCGCGTCACCGACCCACTGCGAAGTGGATAATTGGAAGAGGCATGCATTTTGCCTTGCAATTCAATAAGTCTTTCAACACTCTCTCGGTTTGCGCCATCTTTCTCCTCTACCATGGAAAGATTCAGCATGAAGCATGTGTGACACGGGCCGCCCAACACAAGGTGAAACAGCATACTGTGCTCATTCTTCAGACGCGCAAGGGCCGATTCAAATGGCACCGGATCGCTCCCAGCAGATGCCACCACAAGTGACGAAAGTGACACATCACATGTCTTTTCACCAGCCTCGTTTTTGACGATACGACATTGCCTAGAGAGCAGAAAGGCAATCGCCACACCATCTCTCGTTGTAATTATAGGATCAGCGTTGGCACGACGGAGTGCACTGCTCATCACTTCCTCAAATGCCGAATCGGAGGTAATTTTTCCGTAGTGAAGGTGTGGAATACGAGGACCATAGATGGGGGAAGGGTGCACCACCAGCGGCTCAAAGGAGCTGCCATTACCATCAAAGAGATCTCGCACCTTATCCTTATAAACAAAACCAAAAGCCGCCGTGAGCTCCGCCGTGCCCTCACGCATGATTCGATTATTCCTCAACACTCCACTCACAATGCGTATAAGACCGGACCAGACCGGGGAGTTAAACACGGTTCCCGTATTTGGTGCCTCTACGGATAAAATCGCGGCGTTGTGACTATCACATACAGCGTCCCTGACATCATTAAAGAGATTTGAGCGGTACGACATACTGTTTAAATCGCGAATGACAACTTCAGTGGCTTCGTGTCTTTTCCAATGATATATAAATGTATTTCCTTCTGCTGAAATATAATTAGGCCTTTGAGAACCCCTCTCCAAAAGCACAAGCGTCTTGATAGGATTGGCCTTCCTCTGTTCCTTTGAATCATTTTGTTGTCCTTCCTGTTGAACTTCTTCTCCTTTTTGTTTCCGTTTCTCTGATTCATGTGAAGTTGACCGCGGTGGTTCTTCATCTTGTCCCTTTTCATTTCCCCCGTGCTCTCGTCCTAGACGTCCATCACTGCCACGACGGTCCTGGCCTGCCGCCCTTGTGGAAAGACGTTGCACGGAGTGTTCTCGCGATAACGGCAGCGTGTCCGCCATGGTGTCCTTCATCGTCCCCACCTCCAACTCCGGTGGCTGCTCCGGAATGGCACGCAAGAGGGACCCACGACGCGATGTCGGGCGTGAACGGCTGCTGGCACGCCCCACCAACTTTGTTTTGGGCTCCGGACTCTCCGCGGACTCGGTGTTTCCAACGAGTTGTCTGATACGCTCCTCCTCCCGCTGCTCCTCCCGCCTTTTTTCCTCCTCAAAGCGTTTTCGCTCAGCCGACTTCCGGCGCAACCGCTCCTCCTCGTTTTTCTTCCGTTCTTCCTCATCAAGACGCTTCTGCTCCTCTTGCCGTGTTTCCTTAGCCTTTTTGGGCATCAACTGGGGACGCACCGGCTCTTCGGCGACCCTCGACCTCTCCCGTTGTTCCCTGTGCTCGCCTTGTTTGGGCTCCTCAATAGCAGCGAATTGACTGCGCCGGAAAGCATTTAGCTGAGGCTGCGACCCAGACATGCGCCTGTGCGGGACAATATCCAAAGCAAGGCCGTCTTGCAGCTCATCGGCCTCCGGGAACACCGCAATCGAGACGTTGACCGCACTGGCACTGCGCGCCGCAGTCATAGATGGGCGACGCCGCATAGAGCCGCGGATCGAACGCGATCGTGGCTTCACCCTCTGTTCATCGTGCGACCCCAAATTATCCCCACCGAGACTCCGATCAGGGCCAGGCAATGCACTGGAGTCTAATTGATTGGAGGTCTCGGTTCCACCAAATGTACTTCCAACACACGGTGGATTGTGTGAAGTCGCGCCAATCGAACGGGAAAGAGGAATAGATTGTGAGACATCTTTCCCCGGTTGCTCCTTCTCCTTTTCTTCTTTTTCCTTTTCCTTTTCCTTTTCTTCCTGTTCGCCACTCGTATCTCCCCTAACATCATCATTCATCCGAGAATCTTTGACGCTATGTTTTTGGGGGGCTCTTCTTATATTCAGGCCAGTGGATATGGATGAGTGACCCCATGTATCCTTCGCCTTCTCTTCCTGACCGCGTTCCTCGTCCTTTGAAGCAAAAGGCTTCGTTGAACTTTGATCACCAAAATCAGTATCATTTGGATAACCGCCGTAACCCACTGGACTCAGCGGTCGCCTCGGTTGTATTTCTTCGTTGAACTCCTTGGGAACTATGTTTGGCTCACGACTCTTAACGACTTCCGGTTCCTTGGAAATGCCACTGCTGTCGACTGGGAAAATTTGTCGTTTTTCACGCGCAAAATTTGCGCCGCCGTTGCCCGCCGACCCATAGCTGCCCAAGCGGATGCTGAACTGAGATGGGTAACGATTAAAGTTGCCTTGTGATATTAGGTCGGTTCGGTCACGTCGACTGGCGAATATTTTGTACACCACCGGTGGAGGCTCGTCCACAAAATACATAGAACCTCCACCGATGGCGCCGTCAAAACCACCCATGCTGTTCATCCCGTAACTCCCAAAAACCTCGTTTTCCGCCAAACCGTCTTGCTGTTGGTTCCCACTGTTCTTCCCTGAAAGCCCACACGCAGAAATATCGTAGGTACCACCGCTCCGGAAACCACCGTGGCTGTTCTGTACGTCACGATTTCTTCCAGAAAAAAGCTTTGTGCTCTGATCTTTATAATAAGGGTCAACACCAATATTCCCGCCATAACAATTTGGGCCCTGTGTGTATTGCCCCCCATATGACTGCTGGGGCATTTGCATGTATGGTTGTGGTGCCCCACCCGCAGGCAAAACCCGATGAGTACCGTAGGCTTCCTGCATGCGGAGTAAAACTTTCCCTTTCACGGAGTCGTCACAACACTTCGGCCCTTCCTGCTTTCTCCACTTGGGTGTACACTTGACTGTTTTTGCCTCTTTTCTCCCTCTTCACCACCCACCCACCCACACACACACACACACACGCAGACAGACAGACAGACAAAAAAAAAAAAAAAGCATTAAAATAATTATTATAAATAAATAAAAGAGAATGGGAGAGAGCCACAGGCATCCCCCGTGGGAGAAGAACAAGCACGCAGACGTGCACACACATGTGAAAAGAGAAAGAACCATAATAATAATAACAATAAAGTGAAAAAAGTCACCACAACGCCCTCCAGAACACATATGAACAATAGCGTCATGATTTCATCAAACAAACAAACAAAAAAAAAGAAAAAAAGAAAAAGAGATGGAAAAGAAACGAAGAAAAATAATGAAGACTGTAAGGATATTACAGACAAATACGCAACAAAATAGAAAAACAACAAAGGAATGGAAAGAAAAGGGGAAAAAAAAAAAAAAAAGAACGGATTATAACAACAACAACAAAAAAAAAAAAAATCGACAGCTCAGCACACGTCGTCACTGACAATGTAATATAAATATATAAATATAGATGGATAGATAAATATATGCATAACACGCAGCAATGAGGTTTTACTCCCTTACCGTACCGTACCACACACCCTCCACTCCACAGGCACATACGCAAGAATCAAAACCAGACAATAATAGAGAAAATTACAAGAAAGACAGCATCGCATTTTTCACAGAAAAAAAAAAAAAAAAGGGTTTTAAAAACAAACGAACAAACAAAAAAAAAAAAAGAAAACAGCAAAAACAATAATAACAATAAGAAAGCAATTTATTAGCACATGTTTTCATTGCAATCATTACCCATCCCGTGTGTAGCATTCATTATATATATATATATATATGCACATATATAAATCAAATACACGCTCATTCCCAGCCAATTTTAACTCTCTTGAAGGATTTTCTTCTTGTACGGGCGTAATTTACCCAACAATACATTCAAAATATATATATATATATATATAATGAATGCTACACATGCCGCCATTTATACGTTTCCTCTTTCCCTTCTTCGCGTCGGAATGACTCATGTAGAAAGGACATGCAACTGTCCTTTTTCAATAGTCTCATCCAAAGAATTCACAATCGCTCAAGTCATTTTATCTCGCGAGAGCCAATGCTTCACGTCCATAAGTAACTTTTACAACCAAAATCTCTCAGCCACCCGCGTGTCCTGCAATCGTGACACGTACACGCCAAGAGTATATGGCAAGAAACGTATATATATATATATATATTCTCATCCAATATTGCCCGTGACTCATCGCTTGATAAATTTATTTATTTTATTTATTTAAAGGGGAATTGTTAACTGTAACGCCGATTCCACGGTATAAATACGCCGCAGATGGCAATACAATAAAATCCCCCCATTAGACATTTAAAAAGTATAAAGAAAAAGACAATATAAATATAAATAATAAATATTCTATCTCGTCCCGTCCTCAATTTTCCCGTGATGCCTCCTTCCCCTCCTTCACACGTCTCGTAAAAGAAAGGCGAAGGAGTTCTTGTCGCAAATATGGCGTTGTTTCAATCCTGCAATCGGTAACGCTACAAGGCGTAGAAAAAACAAACGGAAAGAGTTTTAACTATAATAAGCACCTCTTCACATATCACCGATGTAAAGCATCCCAAAAGTTAAAAAAAAAAAACTCTTTCAATTACTTCCATTCGCCCCATTAAACAGGAAGGGAGCTATTCTTAGGCGTGGCACGTTCATCGGGGACAAGCATGACGTCTGGGCTACAGACAAATTGGACAACACTACCACGTGGTGGAGATTCCGCTAATTTTTTATGAGAATTAGACCTGCATCCATGTGAAAATGGAAGTGGCACAACAACGGTACATATGCGGTTCTCGTCATTTGATTCCATAGATGCGTTTGGATCAAACTCTGTGGATAATTTGTCCCGAGATTCTTCTGAAGTTGACACGAAGGATACGGCTCGCCTAAACAATTGCCTCTGAACTTCCTCCACTTCATCATCATCATCATCAAATTCAATCGCCATGGGCGCTGAAAATCGACGATGGCGAGCAAAAAAGCCCTCTTCTTTCCCTAGTAGCTTGTTAAGGCTGCTTGTTTTACTAAGAATACTTTGAGGATGCTCACTGGATGAAATAATAGACGAATAAAGACTCTCCGGGGGTTTTCCTACAAAAAAGGCTTGACGCTTCATCGACTTACCAGGTGATTCCTGCATGGGCCCTTCCTGCTCTCTACACTGGCCTTCATATACATCCATCAGAGTCCCTACCAAAGGACGATGGGTATCGGGCACGCATCCTCCGCCACCACCGTCAGGATTTTCATTTCCACATGCGACCTGAGAAACCAACCTGTTTTCTTTCCCGCCCGGAAGCTGGAAGGATTGCATCGGGAAATCTTGAGCATGCTTTTCCTTATTGTGGGATAAGAAAGGATTCTCTTCGCCAAAATGGGGTTTATTCGTATCGCACCGAAGAACCTTCTTCTCTACTCCCTCTTTTGTGAAACATAAAGCGTCATGTACCACCCGCCGTACTTTTTTCAGTTTTAAAAGTTTTTGAATTAACGAAAATTTCTTTGGATTGACCGAATATGAAGACCCCATCCTTTTGCCTTTTTGTTGTTGTTTTTTTGTTACTTCCTTGTGGTTTATTATCCCCTAAAGAAAAGCCAACAAACCAACACCTTCTTTCAGGAAGACCGTGTCTACCCCCGCCTTCCACACACACACACAGACAGACAGACAGACGGGTATCTTCCTTAAGGTCTATCAAAAGAAAAAGAAAAGAAAACACAAAATTCACGGGTATCCAACTGGCCTCACTCCACAAATGTTGGGCCCTCCCCCCACCTACAGCCCAGCCCAGGAAAACACCACACCATAAATTGCACACATTCCCCCTCCCCCACTGCGGCAAGAGACATATAACCTCGCCTACAGTGGGAAATATATCACCTCAAATAATCACAACACGTACCAGAAATTTTCCTTCTTGTCTCCTTCACCACTTGCCCGCAATTCCCACCTCAACACACACACACACAGACAAAAAAAAAAAAAAAAAAAAAACACATATGCATATATATATATATATATATATATATGGGAGCCAAAGGTGACATGCAGCGGCTAAAAAAAAAAAAAAAAAAAAAAAAAAAGGGAAATAATCCCGTGTGGGCAAAATAATAATAATAATAAAACACCCCTTCTCTCTCTCTCTCTCTCTCTCGGTTTGTCTCAAAATAACAACCCTCCCTTAAAAAACACGCACAAAACAAAAACAACAAACACAACTATTGGCGTGATATGCAAAGCAAGGTGCCGGCCTACACGTCACACGCTACAAGAGAAAAAAAAAAAAAAAAAAAAAAAAAAACTAA